TTACATTTTTTTTTCATTTATTATTCCTCCGAGAAGAAACAGAAATGCAATTCATTTTCTAAAATGGTTGCCATGTCCGAGGAAGACTCAGTGTGTGTGTGGGGGGCATCAACAGTGGACTACTATGCTAGTATATTTTGAAAAATGAATGTCATGATTTCTTTTACAGAGTAGAGAGCATTTCTGTGAACTCGGCATGAACATGCATTGAAATAAAATGCTCTCAGCTGGAAAAAGGTAAATTCAACAACTTCTCGCTCACTGTCAATGTATCAACAACAGAAATCTTTTCGTTTCTTGGTAATTAAATAAAAACCATAGAATATTGAAACACATTCACAACTTAAACCTATGTAAACTTTGTTTACATGCCAGAAGGAAATTCTCAAAATAAGGTATAATTGAATATTGAAACACACACACACACAAAACCCATAAAACAAAAATAAAGGTGGGCTTAGCCAACATGTGGCATTGACCCATCTGCAAATCACGAGGAAGCAAGTCCCTTTTGAAACTCACTTTCTTTCTGTATAAAACACAAGCTGCAGGAGTGCATTGCTAACATTTCCCGTACAGAGAAATATGCTGTGAAATTACGACATTTGAAATCAAAATTCTGTTGATAGATAAACATGGGCTCAAATTAGCTCTCTAATCTTGCAAAAATTAGTCCTTATTCATGTTCACTTCCCAGTGTGTGAAGGGGAGAAATGTTGAATTCTAAGTGGTGCATTTGAAGAGTTAAAAGAAAGTGTTCCAGAGTGACTCAGTTGGGCTACTTAACTTTTTTGGGTCATTTACTCTTCCATCTGTCATTACAGATTCATTCCCTATGTAGTATTACTTACTTGCAAATAACAGACATTTAAATAAAACTAGGAGATTTTATGCACTTTTGCCAAGCAAAATGGATAAAATGTGGGAGATCGAGAATTTTTTTTTTTTTCCTTTCCCAGCTGGAGAATACCTCTGTATTTGAATACAGTACACAAAGTAGTTGTAACAGGCAAAACAAAATCAAAAGCTCCACATGACTTCTCCATTGAGCACTACTCATATATTTGAGGACAAGCATGGCACCACATGCATTAGGAATAGTACATCCCACGGGAATATAAACCTTCCACACAGACTCAGCACTGGTTTTACACTTTACAAAGCACACGCGAAATCAGTTTGGAATTCCACAATTTTAGAATGAGCTTTATATTCACAAGAAAGACTTAAGGATAATTAAGCAAGGACTTCAAAAAGTGTTGAACTTTTTAAATGGATTATCAAAGATTGCCTAGACAGGCCCGGAAGCTTCTACCGACATGTTTGAGTCTATCAGTGGGTAGGTTTGTTTCACTCCTAACTAGCCTCCAATGAGTTAGATCAAAGCGAGGCATCCCTTGCTTAACCTATTTGCTACTCTATATCCAGAAAGACTTATTTAACATTCCTTGTTTTTCTGGAAAACATCCAGTTGGGGACTAAATGAGACGCATGTACTCCCAGTCAGTAAAAGCTGCACTGCAAAGGCAGATGACAACAGGCAATCCTTCTACCTTGTGAGTAACCACAGAGATAGGCTGCGGTCCTGTCAGACCCACAGACTGTGTCCACACTCTGCTCTTTACTTAACCTGGAACTGTAGCTGTGCCCTCCAGGACACACACAATTCACGAGCCCTGGGCATCTTCCTGGGTCCTTATCTACTACCACAGATAGTTGGCTTCATAATACTGACCAGAAGGGTTACACAGGCCGCGGAAATTTCCTTACAAGAATCATGAAGTCAAAACACACCATAGGCTGTCGACAGTATCGGTAAAGGTGTGGTTAGGAGATAGTTATTGTGTCAGAATGCCACTACACTAATTATTAGTAAAAGTTTACAAACTTTAAAAAGTTCATAATAACATCTGGATAGGAAAGGGTTGACAGAGGACCTCGTGGAACACAACGCAAGGGCTTCACGCTTTGGACTGTCACCCACAGGGTTGGGAGGAGAGTACGTTCTTCACAAGCCACAGATTCACACAATGGCATGAGGCAACTCATCCACAGAGCACACTACTTCCAGTTATTAGGGGTATCTGGCTTTCTTTTTCCCTACCTTCTCAATTTTTAAAAATTCTCATTGTGAAAAATTAGAATATTAGTTGAAAGAACTTCTTATTTAGAGATAAGATCAACATCGATAGATCTCTTCTCTGTGCAGATACCGAGAAAACTGAACTCAGGCAATGTTCACATTAATGGATATTTCCAGACGCCTGTGTAATAAAGCAAAGGGGTCTCGGTGAGTCTGCTGGACTTGACCGTTAGCACACAGGTTATTATCGAGGGGGAAACAGTGTTTTACAAAAGTATGTTCTTCCCGTGCACGCCACAACACTATGGGAAATTAAAAAGGCAGCCCTTTAAAAAAATGAGTGGTATAAAAATTCACAGTAATGTACATCATTCCCTTTCACATAAGCAATTGAAGGGCAGTGCTGAGCAGGTATACCGTACGATACAAAACAGTGTAAGTAACACAGCACTAACACACAGGGACAGAACGCTAACAGTGCTCTCTGGATGGTTCTTTTTACTGGGTGAATACTCCAGCCAGAGATATTTAAACTCTGGGGTTCAACCAACCCATTTCAATTAGACACAATTAAAATCCTCTGACGTCATGAGGGGCCAGATGCTACAGGAACCATCAGCGAGGTCGGTGCTACTCTCTACAAGCATTTTCGTTACACGGTCAAGTGAAAGGACCCATACAAAAATGATACCCAAGCGCAGCAGGCCAGGTGCTATCAACCGTTGCTAAAGACAGAGGTAGGGAAAAGGCTGCCTGCGGGCACAGGCTCTGCCCCCACTTCTAGCACGGCAGCGGGCAGTCGCTTGCCATGCAGCACAGCCATTTTCTTCCCCTGCTTCTCGCTCATGGCAGCAAATGCATCCGAGCCACGCCAGGAGATCCGCCACATGCTCAGGTGTCGTTGAAGGTCAGAACGGAGTGTTAGCTTTCAGATTTGGCGGCTTCTCCCTGGGCTTCTCCGCTTTGTTCCGTGGAGCTTCTCTGTCCATCGTCCTCGCCTTCTGTGAAAGGCAATGGAAACAGAGAGGCTCGAGTTTACTGACCCTGTGTGTGTGTGTGCACCATGCAGGAGACTTCAGACATTCCTGCAGAGTCTGAACATGCCATAGGCACATGTGTGCTTTCTTGGCAGTGCACGGATGAGCGTTCAGAGCCCGGCACTTTCTGTGACCTCAGAGCAAAAGCCAGAAACAAGTAAGCAATCGATGAAAGGCTCAGCTGTCAACGATGGGCTGTGCATTTGTTAAAGTTGAAACCTCAAGGCCCGAGCTCCTGACTCTTACATGTGCTTTTACTGTACAAGCACAGAGTGTGTCCTGACCCTCTGAGTTGAGCAAACACTTAAAATGTTTACCATGCCCGTTACTTACAGAATTTTAGGATCATCCACCTGGATCCTCGAAAGTTTTCTTATTTATTATTAACTCAAGATAGAGGGATTTTGTTGTTGTTAATTGGTCAGTCTCTTGAAATGCACTTAAAATTGAATGTTAATGTGAAAATTAAAATATAAATCTGTGAAAAGAAACTGGCAAAATTTCTGAACCATGAAAAAAAATGTATATTTACTCATTTCATGGTAGTAGAATGAAATAACACCCTACAGCCTTTCTCCAAATTGCTTTGAGAGTTAAGTATATAAAGTACAGAAACAGTGAGCCCTAGAATATGGAGCCCAAAGCCACGATGTTAACATTTGTCATTAACCTAAAATTGAGAGGGTCTATAACATACTGACCTTTAATAATTGAACAAAATTCTGCCTTTTTAAAACCACACACATGACCTTACACATTTTCTAACAATCTAAAAGCTTTCACACATGTGTTCTTAGAGTGAAGCCATATTGGATATTAGAGAATCGGAAATTATGAGTTCTTTTTATGTATACAACACTGTAGTTTCTTGGCTATGAATTCTTTTCATACTTAATAATTAATTTATTTAAATCTTCTTAATAAATTTGAAGAAGCTATGAATGGAGGAACTATTAGCCGATTTTAATAGTCAGAATTAAGGCTATCAAACATTTCAATGTATTAAAATATTTATTTTTCACTAGTAATGTCAAGTGACTTGAATAAGTACTAAGGTACATTTCCTCCAAAAAAAAATTCAATTATGAAAATTTAAAAACCATTTTCTAAGAAGTACTTACATAAACTTTTTTTATTTCCATTCTCAATAAAACTGATTCTCTGAATTAAGGTCTACCTGACTCATTGGGAATCTTTTAAAGTATGAATGAAATGTAGGAGTTAGCCTGAGTTGTCTATGGCAGGAGTCCTAACTCTACTAAGTCTTCCCGTAAGTAATTTCAAAGCTTTTGTAGATATTTCAGCTTTTGATCATGTGTTTTTATTTTTCAGTGTGCATAGAGAAGTAGCTGGAAAAAAAGGAGAGATTAATGAACCAAATAGAGACTTTCATGTTGTATGAACTATTTTTAATTGTGTCATTTGATTTCAAAAGAAGGTGTGTGTGTGTGTGTGTGTGTGTGTATGTGCATGCGTGCGTGTGTGCATGAATGTGTGTGTGCGTATGTGTGTGTGTATGTGCATGTGCGTGCATGCGTGTGCATATGTATGTGTTGTGTGTGTGTGTGTGTGTGCATGTGTGTGTATGTGCATGTCTGTGCGTGCGTGTGTGTGTGCATGTGTGTGTGTGCGCGTGTGTGTGTGCGCGTGTGTGCGCGCATGCGTGTGTGTTCTAATCTCATGTAGGAAAATGCCATGTCATCCTATGTCCCTAGAAAGGTGTACACTGAGTGACTCACCTGTCTTGTTGATATCAAGACCTGCTAATTTCAAGGCTAGTTCATTGCTGTTGCCACTTGCAGAGGAAACCAGGATATCATGTATTGCATTTCTTCTACCTGTTCTTCCTGAAGCAATAAAATCTGCATACGTAGTTTCCACATCAGTCATTGCTAACAAATATCCACATAGCAGGGACTACAAGAGAAGGAAAGAAAAGCTGGTAGGTAAATGTAATGATAATAAATGGCGAACATTTGACAGAGAAACGTTAATAGTAAATGAATGACATAAAACGAATGAGAAGCAATTGTTTAGAAGTAGGATTTTGATTCTTGTCTGAAATATTCATATCAAATCACAGGAATGACCAGCATGGAGAGTATCATAAGGGTGTAACCGTGGCACACACACCTCTCTGTAATCCAACAGCTCTCTAACTGCCATGTTATTACAGCACAACCCTTAACTGCATTTAAATGTTTACACTTGGACTCACAGATACATTTAATTCTTGGGTCTCATTGTAGAAACTTCCTGTGGCAACAAATGGATACCAGTACAGAAAACTAAAACTAATCAAAAAGAAAGGGACGATGATACTGTGGTCCTGGGTCCCAACTGATACATACATAACCCAATTCCTGCACTTATGACTCGTGCTCAGGATTCAACGGCAAATACTTTGATCTGTATTCCAACCACTCGGGGTTGACTTGTGGTGTGACACAGTCATAGATAATACATTTAACAAGTGCAGTAAGAACTTTATGGGAAAGGCGTAGGAGCAGCATTAGCCCACAGGCCATAGCTTGCTTCTGCATGGTTTATATTCTAAGACAATGAAACCATGGTCCACATTTACTAGTTGCTTATGCCACATATTTCTCCCACAAAAGTAAGTGGAATTTGGGCTGCAGTTGTTGCTCTGCCATTCAGTTACGGAAGTGATTTACTTTTAACCACCTTGTTCTTAATTACTAATTAGAAAAGAAGTTCAGTGGATAAACGTGATAATTAGTGTGCTTCAAGTGAAAGGACCAACAGGGTTACTCAAAACTACCTGCTTTCTCAAACGCTGGCCATTGGCACCTCGCACATCCCTTTGCTGTCTCATTTGTGGGTCAGTCCTTCTCACGGAGCCAGTCTTCAGTCTCTGTCTCTCTAGGTATGGGAATCAGTGCCCCCCCCCCCCAGCTCACGGCTCCTCATCTAAGCTAGGAAGTTCCTTTGGTCTCTTGTGATCATTGCCTTCCTACCTACATTTCATGCTGAGAAAACAGCCCAGTACACTTTCTTTGATCTCACTACCAGGTGACTGATACCAGGAAAAGTTACAAAATTGTGCCAGTTGGCTCAACCAGACATTTCTGACTATTATTAGTCTGGGCACAGAGTTGCACGGATTCTCTGATTCACCTCTAGGTGACTTTTCCTTGTATTCAGATCCATGGGAACTATTCCCGGCCCTTTCCAGTCTAATCACCAGACACTGTCTGTTATCAGTGATGGTTCCATCACTCCTTCTTAAAAGAACACTGGACGTTTCTCAACGTCCATCTCCTACATGATATCTCTCTGTATTGTCTTTACTGGTGGATTCCTTACTTCCTTCCTCCCTCCTTTCCTTCCTTCCTCCCTCTCCCTTCCTCCCTCCCTTCCTTCCTCCCTTCCTTCCTCCTTCCCTCCCTCTCTCCATCCCTCCCTCTCTCCCTCCCTTCCTTCCTTTGAGACAGCTGTTGGTTTTATTTTATTCCATCTTCAATACCATCACCCACCTGCTCTAACATCATCCACCATGTTTAACACATTCTTGTTTATCTCCCATCACTGAAATCAGCATCCAATCATTTCTCAATAAATAGTGATTTTTTTAAAAATATCACTTATAGTTTCACTCAATTTAGAATGGTACTTCCAGAGTGGTCTCAGGCCATTCTGAAAACCTTCAAAGCCTCACCCAGAGTCTACAAATTCTGAAAGTTGGAATTCCATTTGAAGTCTTTCCATGATCTGAATGTTTCTTATGTTGGCAGACATTCCTTCACCGCTCACTTTCAAGCATGCTATATTACAGAATATAGCACAGTGTTTTTCAGAGATCTGTGATGGTGCATTTGCTCAGATCTATTGCTCCAGCTGGAATGCAGTTCCCAGATAAATTCGCTTGGTGAAACAGGCCAAGCCCTCAAAATTGAGCCCAAACTCCTCTCCTGTTTTGCCGCCCTCCCTGTCCTCAGACAGCACTTTAAGGACACCTGGATGTTGTCTGTACGGGGCAGCGCCAGTGTTACAGTTACCTCTCTTCATAGACAGATGGCAAGCTATGGCAAGTCAAGAGCAGAAACCTTGTATACACTCTCTCAATTGTGGAATGAATGTGAGAGAAAGCAGAAGTGGAATCGTTTGGAGAGAAGCCACAGGAAGAGAGAGGGTGTGAGGAATGGGGAGGGTACTGGGGTGATGGATGTGAGAAAAACAAAGCGCTGTGTGCTTAAAAATGTCAGCATAGATCCCATTATTTTATTTGCCAGCTAACAAAGGCACTGGTTTTGAAAGGACCGCATTTTGTTACTACTTTTACAATTCATACTCAATTTTTGACATCGCCACTTGCATGTAGTGAGCAGCCACGGAGGAAAGCCATGCTTCCTGATGGTGGCAAATTAACAAATCCTAAGAACTCACCCACGCCAATCTGGATGATTCTATACAGGGTCCACCCATCTTTACCTTGTTACTCAGGTTTTTGGAACTTAGGCTCATAAAGTCCCCGCACACTCCTTTTATTCTATGAGACTGTTCCTGAGTCAGTAATAATGCTTTGACCTTGTAATAATTCAGCATTATTAGTTACAGATACGTTGTCATTAACTGAAACAACATTAGCAACGTTATGTATAATCTCTACATTAGCCTGACAGTTTAGCGCTGAACAGACCCATCAGCCTGGTGAACGTGCCTGGAAGCAGGAACACAGAAGAGGAAAGAGAGAAAGAAGCAGTTTTCACAATTATCTCTATCCTTAGAGATTGCCTTTTAAAATAGCTTTTTAAGAACACAGACTTAAAAGAACGACCCCAACTGCCATTACTCATCATCTGGCAAAAGAAAATAATAAGAGGCAAGGATCAAAAAGTGGCGTTCAGTTAAAAACATCTCATGTTTTAAGTGACCCCCCACCCCCCAGTAAGATTCAGAACCATGGCTTAAACGCTGGGCCTTACTTTATTAAAGATGTTCTTGGCTTTCCCCCTAACTTCTTTTCCCTGCAATATGACACATGTAAGGTTTGTCTAACTCACTCTGCTGCTGATTTCACTAAGACCTGCAGTATCAACGATGAGGCAGACAATAGTGACCACGATTTCCACGAGAAGGTATGAGGTAAAAGAAGCTGGAAAGTCTACCAGTGTGAGCATAGCTAACAACTGTGAACTTTCATTTAGTGCATTCCTAGTAAGTGGGCATCTGCCGGGACAATCAGGGAGTTATAAAGGAGTACTGAAATTGTCTTCAAATGGTCACACACAGATTGCATTTGGATTGAATTAACAGCAGTGAGGACAGTCTAGCGGAGCACTATTCTAGTAAAAGGCCCTCCCAGACATTTTCGGTATATATTTATGTACATACGCTCTACACATCTAAAGTAAGTTGTAAACTAAATATTGAGTATTTAATTACTGTTGCCTTCTTATTATATTAGCTATTAGTAGGAAATTAATGCTTTTATAATATTTTATTTGGATGAACAATGTATTTCTTTTATGATACAAGAAACGTAACTAACAAGAAGCACAAGCTAAACGTGTGCAAGGCCGAAGGAATGTAATAACATCTTTGAACAAAATACACAGTTGCCTTGAATTCTATGTATATCTTTCTAGTATTTTAATTTTTATTTTTACTCCAAGGTCCTCAAAAGTGCTTGCTTTCACTGTGCAATGGCTTTCCTCCTGAATCAAGTATTAGGCACAGAGTTATCTATTGATTCAGCTACCAAATATCCAAGAATATAACAAACAAATTACCTCATGGAAAACAAACTTTTACTATGAAATTCTGGATCACTGTTGTTAACAGATACTCATAAACAGGAAGGAAGGAAGAAAGGAAGGAAGGGGAAGGAAGGAAGGCATCATCAAATTCATTCCAACAGCTGACAGGGGTTTAGAAAACCCTAGAAAAATTAGCAATAACAGACTTTAGTTCCTATTTGTGTTGCTCTATTTAGAATTTTCTAAACATTAACTAATGATAATTTACTGGATATGCTCAAGGAATATGGTGGGTCTCTGTACCCACTTATAGAAACATAAAGCTACATTAATTAAGTCTGGAGTAGGGGGGAAGATATTTTACTTTTTAAATCTTGAGCCATCCAGTGTTAGATTAAATTTTATAGCCTATATTTCAAAAGAAATGACATTTAACACATCCCAATCAAAATTTACAAATAATGAATAAACATGCTCCCCACACCTTGATGAAGCCCCAATCTCTCACTGTACACAAAATGATCAGGAAAGTTTAAATAGTAAGGCAAATTTCTGAACTAACATACATGATTGGGGGGGCATTAAATTCTTCTAATATCCTAATGCAATTACATATGGACATAGGCGGGCTTTACTCCAGCAGAACTTACAAACTTAGAGTTCAAGAGCCCATAACGGCATGTACTTACGCCTCCCGTCTTAAAGCAAAGCAGCGGAGCCTATGAAGCTGCTAAGATGATTTTTATAGTGACATTGAGTCTTGCGCCAATGATGACTGGAGAACATGCTAATTTTACTTCTGTAAATGGGGCACATGAACTGAGATGCACAGACTTGGAAGTAAGAATGGAGAGGCTGCCTCCCTCGTGTGAACAATGATTTTTTTTTAAAGCAGAAGTTTAAATATAAGAAACAGAAATCATTCCCGCTCCACTCCTTTAAATTCAATGGCAAAACGCCCATGCTAAAATAAAGAGATCATGCACGGTCTTAAAAGTCCCCGAGCAGTTTCCAGTGTGTTGAGTGCTTGATATGCATTGGTGTTGGTTGTCTGAGATTTCCATGCATTCTGAAAGGTGACTGAGAACTCCAAGAGCGGAACAAATCTACCAACATTTACCATGTGCAAAATGGAAAAAGTGCTCAAATTTAAGTATTATTAATTCGCCGAAAGATACCAATAGCCCTATTGCATAT